CATCTTTCTATTTTTCATAAGTGTTTATGTATGTTAAGATCATGTTTTGTATTTTTTTATATTTTATTTGTATCTCAATTAATTGATATGAATTTTTGTAAAGTGTAAGGGTAGTTAAAGTCAAAAATGGGCAAAAATCCATTTAGTTCTAATGGGACAACACCTAACATAAGTTGTTCCAAATTAGCATATTTCCCAAAATAAAATGTAGTATTGAATTTTAATTTTTCTCTAAATAACGAAAATTCACTAACCATTACGAGTCCTTTGATGATCTCGTCAGTGTAGTACTCAGGCTGAGATTCTTGAAGTGTTAGCAAATGAGTGATCATAGTGTTCTTGAACTCTGTTTTCCCTCTGTTTCTTCTGTGTTTGTCCACTAGTCCCTGAAGAAACTTATCAAATTTTGAGCCAAATTTCTTTATTTTTTTAACGTATCCATCGAAATCAAACAGCTTCAAAATCGGAAAAAAGTCACCAGCATAAGTAAACCCACAGAGCTCGAGCATTTTGGTGATCAGCTCATCCACTTCCTTACCGTAGTAACGTTTTCCAGCGACGATTCTCATGGTAACGTTAAAAGTAAACCCTGAGAGCAACGGTCGTAGCTCCACTCGGACAGAGTTGTCTCCTCCTCGTAATGTCGCCTCGTGAATCGTCCGAAGCAGAGACCTCATCTCGTCTCTCCGAATCTCGAGCGATTCTTTGAGACGAGCGGGGGAGAAGATCTCGAGAGTGCAGATACGTCGGAGGTTTCGCCAGTGGTCTCCGTAAGGAGATGCGGTGAGTATCGTGTTGTTGTAAAGAACGTATTCACCCAAAGTAGTGATAGGCCTGTTTGCGAAAACGACATCGTTTTCGTGGGATAAGAACTCTTCCGCTGCGGAAGCTGACGTGACGACCACGGCTCGACGAGATCCAAGCCTGAGGGAAAACACTGGACCAAGGTTTTGAGAGAGGTCACGGAGGCAACGGTGAAGAGGAGATTTGAGCAGGTGTAGGTGTCCGATCACCGGGAAACCTACCGGACTTGGTGGGAGATTTTGGTTTGCTCGGAGAAGATATGCCGCCACTACAATGAATCCGATGAGTAGAGTGAATGAAATCAAACTAAACATCTCGTCTGTTTTTTCTTTTTTCTTTTACGTTGCTTCATGTGTACAGACACTACATAGTCTACAACGGTACAGAATGAACTTGTTTGATAGGGACATGTGGTTACGCTGTTGTTGTCCTTGATGATGTAATGTTAAATGCCCTTGACACTAAAATGGAGATAAAATCCAATCATTGTTACTCTCTAAAACAGACGCTTCAACCACTATATTAATGTAAACTTTGGAAATACTATTACAAATTTGAAATGATTCATGCTACTATAATTCTTCATCTTCTTCAAATAAAAAGTTTGTGATGATTATATATGATTTATAAACATGTTTCTAATTAATGTTTGATCGGAAAATATAAGCTGCCGCTACAATTAAAACTTAAATGGTAATTTTGTTCTTCTTCAAAATTAATATAATACATATGTGATATTTTTTTCAAAACGTTGGTTGTGTTAAGAGGCCTTTTATCTTTCTTTCACTATGGCATTTTACTCAAAATATTAGACAGATTAAACAAAAATAAAAAATAAAACATTATATATATAGTATATTATATTAGTTTTAAAAAAGAAAAGAAAAATATCACTCAAGTTTTAAAAATTAAAAATAATCTATAATAATCTAAGAAAAATTATAAATATTTTCAGATTTTAGATATATTTAATTTTCTATATTTATAAATATTTCATTATTTATATTTTAATATAATATAGGTTTATTAAATATATAATAATTAAGACATGTTAATGAATTTATATAAATCAGAAACAATCATCATCAAACTTTTAACCGAAAAATAAAAAAGTTTAATAGTAAATAGAATTTCAAATTAGTAATAATATTTCCAAAATTTTCTTTATTCTGCTAGTTTAAATTTATGTTAGAGAGGATAACAAAGATTGACTAATTTCCGTTACAATCTATATTGGTTTAGGGACGTTTTTAAAATCTGAAGTAATTGTTTTTAATTATAATTTAATTGAGATCGTATTTAGTATGACTGAAATTGTTAGGGTTGAATTATGCCATTTTCTCGCCTATACATCTAATTTAGATATGTACAAGAAGAACAAAATACCTCTAACCTTTTTTATGGATGACCTAGTTTTCTAACTCCGTCGAATTTGGCTGTTGGAGATGTTTTCAATGACCTCCATCAAATTGAATTTTATTATTTTCCAATATCTTCAGGAATCGTGTAGATTTTTCTGTAATCTTATATTTTCCGCATGGTATAGACAGTGGCGGACCTATATACACTAATGTGGTGTCACCTGCAACCTCTAAATCTGAATAAATATGGTTTTGTCCATAGAAATAATGAAAAACTAGTAGCTCTCTTGGTAAAGTACAGTATCTGGTCCCTCTGAACCAGAGTTCAAATTTCTTTGGTGATACATTTTACTTGTTTCTCCTTTTTATGTACATAGTTTGACCCATGTTAAATTTAATCATTGGTCCACCACTGGGTATAGCCAAGGTGTTTTATCTTATCTCTTCCACTAAGTACATGCTAGGATTTTTGAATTTGGTTCGAATTCTCAATGCCATTGTCTGGTTTGACGAACTTGAACCTCTTTTAGGGGATTTCAGGCATTTGTCTTAGGGTTTTCAGTATCGTTGGTGCATAATCATCATATAGTTTGCACTGTACGTGTGAAAGCTTGAGTTTGCTGAATAATTTAATTTGCGGTAGTTAATGCTTTTTCTGTTCAAATTGTATCTTTGGTATTGTAGGGTTTACTCATGCTGTAATCACTCTAGCCTAGGTTATGAGGCAGGTTAATAAATCCAACATATATGGCAATATGGTTCCATCTGGTGTGCTCTTGTCAAATTTGTTCAGAAAGACTTTTCGAACTGTGTAGAAATAATCCAGTGAGCAATCTTGATTTATAATTAAGTATTATAAGTTTTTCAACAATTCAAGAAATTAAAATAAATTATCGATCAAACTATTAAAGAAAAATAAAATAAAAATGTTCTTATTAGCAATGTAAATGTCCACACATAAAAGAGAAACTAAAAAACAATGTTGTCAATGATTGGAGAAGACTTGCATTTAGCAACTAAAGGCACAGCTTTAGGCATGGTAATACCTTTTCCTTCCGACATGTCAACATCCATGTCTCCAACCTTCTCCCAGTCAAAACACTGTATCAATGAACCTAAAGCTAAGCTCAATACAAGTTGGGCCAGCCCCATTCCCGGACACGCTCTTCGACCTATTCCGAATGGTAAAAAGTTACCATGTTGGGTCTTCCACTCTTTACTATTGAACCTTTCCGGTTTAAAAACATCGGGCTCATCCCATAATTTAGGGTCTCTATGAATCGCCCAAGCATTGATGAATAGCCATGTGCCACGTGGAATATCATACTTACCAACTTTGCGATCATCGGAAGACGCGTGTGGGAGCAGCATTGGCGTTGCTGGATACAGACGAAGAGTCTCTGAGATCACATTGTTGAGATATGTACAAGTGCTAGCATCTGATTCCTCCATCAAACGCCCTTCTACCGAAACGACGGCGTTTAATTCCGCCTTGACTTTGACTAGAACATCTGGATGGTTTAGAAGGTTAGCCATAGCCCACTCCAATGTAACAGACGTTGTATCCGACCCCGCAAATAATATCACCTGCAAAAAAAATGTACTATTGAAATTTTGATTTTTCTCTAAATAACGAGTTGAAATATAAAGAAAATTCACGAACCAACACGAGTCCTTTGATGATCTCGTCAGTGTAATACTCAGGCTGCGATTCTTGAAGTGTAAGCAAATGAGTGATCATAGTGTTTTTGAACTCTGCTTTTCCCCTGTTTCTTCTGTGTTCGTCCACTAATCCCTGAAGAAACTTATCTAATTTTGAGCCAAATTTCTTCAATTTTTTAACGTATCCATCGAAATCCAACAGCTTCCAAATAGGAAGAAAGTCACCAGCATAAGTAAACCCTGCGAGCTCGAGCGTGTTGGTGATCAGCTCACGCACTTCCTTAGCTTCCGCGTTATCCTCGCCGTAGTATCGTTTCCCAGCGACCATTCTCATGATAACGTTCAAAGTAAACCCTGAGAGCAACGGTCGTAGCTCCACTCGGACAGAGTTGTTTCCTCCTCCTGATGTTGCCTCCTGGATGGTCCGAAGCAGAGATCTCACTTCGTCTCTCCGGATCTCTAAAGATTCTTTGAGACGAGCGGATGAGAAGATCTCGACGGTGCATATACGGCGGAGGTTGCGCCAGTGGTCTCCGTAAGGAGATGAGGTAAGTATCGTGTTGTTGTAAAAAACGTATTCACCAAAAGTACTGATAGGCCTGTTTGCGAAAACGACATCGTTTTCGTGGGATAAGAACTCTTCTGCTGCGGAAGCTGACGTGACAACCACGGCTCGTCGAGATCCAAGACTGAGGGAAAACACTGGACCGAGGTTTTGAGAGAGGTCACGGAGGCAACGGTGAAGAGGGTCTTTGAGCAGATGGAGGTGTCCAATCACCGGGAAACATAACGGACTTGGTGGAAGATTCTGCTTTGATCGGAAAAGATAAGCCGCCGCTACAATGAATCCGACGACTAGAGTGAATGGAATCAAAGTAAACATCTCGTCTGCTTTTTCCTTTTCTTTCGTTGCTTCATGTGCACATAGAGACACACATGGAGTTTAAAGTCAACGGTACAGAAAGAACGTGCTCATTTTTTTTTAATGTTATTCAAACCAAGAAAAACTCAAAGAATAGAGACTAGAGAGTAGTGGCTACGCTGTTGTTGTCCATAATGACACGGTCTCCGGTAACTGGCGCTGGACAAGGATCCGATATTCAGATTTCTGAAAGTATTTATGATTTGCTTTTTTTTTTTATGGATATCTAATTTTTCGATTTTTTTGTTTCAGAAAAATACGGATTTAAAAAATTAATAGATATTTGCGAAGATTTACAAATACTTATGGATATCTCATCCGTTTTGATTAATACAAATGATCTTACAATTAAAATATTTTTTGCATTATATCTAAAATAAATTAAAAGAAATACTGAATTTATATATTTTGTAATTTAAAAAAATTAAGTTAAGAATTATAATAGCACAAAACTTAAAAAAGATTGTTTCTTTCAACATATGGGATTATGACTTAACTGTCCAATAATTTTAGATTTTAGAATATCAGAATTGATTATGGATCTAGAGACGATTATTAAAAAAATTAACTATTCATGTGAAATAAAATAAAATGTTTTATTAGCAATGGGAAGGAGTGCCCGTAAAAGAAAAATTAAAAACCAATGTTGTCCAGGATTGGAGAAGATCTGCATTTAGCAACTAAAGGCACAGCTTTAGGCATGGTAAGACCATTCCCTTCAGACATGTCAACTGCCATGTCTTTGTCCCTCTCCCAATCAAAACACTGGATCAATGATCCTAAACCTAAGCCTAATACAAGCTGGGCCAGCCCCATTCCAGGACACGCTCTTCTACCTATTCCGAATGGTAGAAACTTACCATTATGGGTCTTTAACTCTTCACTGTCGAACCTTTCCGGCTTAAAAGCCTCAGGCTCATCCCACAACTTTGGATCTCTCTGAATAGCCCACGCGTTGATGAATAGCCATGTTCCACGTGGAATGTCATACCCAGCAACTTTGCAGTCAACGGAAGACGTGTGTGGGACAAGCATTGGACCAGCAGGATACAATCGAAGAGTCTCTGAGATCACATTATTGAGATACGTACACGTGCTCATATCAGATTCCTCCATCAAACGCCCTTTTCTTGAGACGACGTTGTTTAACTCCGTCTTGACTTTCGCTAGAACATCCGGATGATTTAGAAGGTTAGCCATGGCCCATTCCAATGTCACGGACGTTGTATCTGTCCCGGCAACTATCATCACCTACATATAATGAAATGATTCAGTCTTGATTTAATTTTTTCTACTAACGAGTTGAAAGTTGAAACCAAAGAAAAAATATTTTTAAAATTCACTAACCAGTACGAGTCCTTTGATGATTTCGTCAGTGTAATACTCAGGTTGTGACTCTTGAAGTGTTAGCAAATGACTGATCATTGTGTTCTTGAACTCTGTTTTCCCTTTGTTTCTTTTGTGTTCGTCCACTAGCCCCTGAAGAAACTTATCTAATTTCGAACCAAGTTTCTTCACTCTCTTAACGTATCCATTGAAATCAAACAGCTTCAGAACCGGAAGAAAGTCACCGGCATAAGTAAACCCTGCGAGCTCGAACGTTTCACTGATCAGCTCCAGCACCTCCTTAGCTTCCACGTTATCTTCCCCGAAGCATCTTTTTCCAGCGACCATTCTCATAAGGACGTTCAACGTAAACCCCGAAAGCAACGGTCGTAGCTCCACTCGGACAGAGTTATTTCCTCCTCCTGATGTCGCCTCCTGGATGGTCCGAAGCAGAGATCTCACTTCGTCTCTCCGGATCTCTAAAGATTCTTTGAGACAAGCGGCGGAGAAGATCTCCACGGTGCAGATACGGCGGAGGTTGCGCCAGTGGTCTCCGTAGGGAGATACGCTAACTATCGTGTTGTTGTAAGCAATGTATTTACCCAAAGTAGTGATAGGCCTGTTTGCGAAAACGATGTCGTTTTCGTGGGATAAGAACTCCTCAGCTGCGGAAGCTGACGTGACTACCACGGCTCGACAAGATCCAAGCCTGAGGGAAAACACTGGACCGAGTTTTTTAGAGAGCTCATGGAGGCAACGGTGAACAGGATCTTTGAGCAGGTGGAGGTGTCCGATCACCGGGAAACCTACCGGACTTGGTGGAAGATTCTGCTTTGACCGGAAAAGATAAGCTGTCGTCGCTACAATGAATCCGATGACTAGAGCAAGTGAGATCAAATCAAACATCTCGTCTGCTTTTTCTGTTTTCGTTGCTTTGTGTGCACATTTACCTGCAGCTTTATGGAGTCTAAAGTCAACGATATAGAACGTGTGCAGCCCACGTGTTTTACCACGTGGTTAATTTTTAATATTACTCCCTCTGTTTCAATATAAGTGTCACTCTACAGCTATGCACACGGATTAAAGAAACAATTAATTTTACATATTTCCTATATAAAAACACAATTAACCACACACCTAACCATATTTTAACCAATAGAAAAACAAATTACGTAATAAAATTAATAAATTTTGCATTGAAAACCGAAAACGACACTTATTTTGTAACACAAAAAATTCTCTACAACGACACTTAATATAAAACGGAGGGAGTATTGCTTTATTTTAGCCCGGATTTGGTGAACAAAAGAGAGAAGAAAAACACGCCGGATCTCACTTTGGTTGTGTCTGCCTGTCTGACCTGGGACATTTAGTTCTTGGTTAGGTTTTGATTTTATTTTATTGTTTATTTGATTCTACATTTTTAGGTTATAAAATATTTAATTAGTTGCAATTAAGTTATTTCGCTTTTCGGTTCGTATAATAAAGTTGAAAACCGACTAATATTCAAAGTAATTTTGGATACCATTGGATTTTTGGTTTTGGTTAATGTACATTTAAACTGAAGATTTGAATTTTTTTTTCTGATTAGATATTAGATTTAAGGGAAAATTTCATAACTACCACTTTCACACTACCACTTTTCAAATATACCACAATTTAATTACACTTTTCAAATATACCACTTTCATTTAATGAAAATTACAAAACTAACCCTAGCTACTTTCTTTTCTATCGTTGTTCTGTTCTAGGGTGAAAGAGGAGAGCGGAGGTGGAGGAGGTGCGGCGGAAGAGGATCTGGTCTGATCAGAGAGTTCGTCGGCGGTGGGGATGAGGGATTAGGGGGAGGAGGAGGGAGCCTGGATTAGGGGGCGGTGGGGATGACTCAGAGTCCTTTGATCCCGTCGAGGTCTCTGGAGAGATCTGTCTCTGGGGGAGGAGGAGGAGAGGCTTCGAATTGGGTCAAGGAAGAGCCTGGAAGAAGACAATCTGAGAGTGAAGCTGTGGACGATATTTTCAAGGCGTATATGAATCTTGATACATTGATGTTTTGAACTCTTCTTTTGGAGGAGGTAATGAGGCTGAGATGGAGGGAGAGAGCTGTGACAATGTGACTCGGAGGGAGAGAGCTGTGACAATGTGAAGGTGGTTTCTTCAGGGGTGAAGAGGAGAGCTGGTGGTGACATTTATAAAAAAAGCTTCGAGAAGTTCAATTGTGGACTTCGAGCAGCTTCAGAGCCAATTCAATGTAAAAAAAGCTTTCATCCTTTTTTTTATCTTCTCTTACAAGATTTTTTTTTTTTTTTTTGCTTATATATCCAAGTCTTATTCAGGATCCAGATCAGTTAAGGGTAGTCACAGAGTCTGTTTTGGTAACTATGGTGTTGCAGTGTAGCAACCATGCACCTAGAGCTGAGTTTCTTCTCTTCGCCTTGCGTACATTATTTAGAGTTAGTTACATTAACTGGGATACCTTTTTACCATCCCTTCTCTCTTCAGTCTCCGCTGCTGAGGCCTCACTAAACCAAGCAGGTTCTTCTGCTACTTCTTCACAGTCTTTAGTCCCTGTACCTTCAGGTAATGAACAAGGTTCTGTCACTGTAAGAGATAATGCTATGAGGAATAGTCAGCGTGTAAGAGCTGAAGCTATAAACAGTCTGCGTCAGATCACTTGCAAAATTATTTTGATTGGCATTGAGTTTAATCTCAAACCTTTCCCTCATGCTGAGATCTTCTAGTACATGATGAGTTGGCTTGTGAACTGGGACATGAGAGAGATGGGAACTGAGAAGAGTTTAGCTGAATGGTTAAGGAGCTGTTTGGAAGTGATGTGGGTGTTGGTAGACGAGGGTAAATCTAGGATTCAGTTTTATGAGTTGTTGCGCAGTGGTTTGCAGTTTATCGAGAACATACCTGATGATGATGAAGCTTTGTTTACTCTTGTCATGGAGATACACCGGAGGAGAGATGCCATGGCTATGCATATGCTCATGTTGGATCAACATCTTCACTGTCCAACGTTTGGTACTCATCGTATATCTTCTCAAACACCTCCCAGTGTTTCAGTTGAAGCTGTGGCTCACCTTCGCTACTCTCCGATTACGTATCCAAGTGTACTTAGGGAACCTTTATGTGGAGAGGTGATTAGTTTCATAGTTTAGTTGTGTAATGTACATGATTTTAAGGCAGGCAATTTGAATCTTTTTTTTTTTGGTTTGATAGTATCTGGCAATGTCTATTCCACAAGGAAGTTTGGATTGGGAGAGAGCAGTGCGTTGCATTAGACATGCTATTCGCACTACGCCTTCACCGGTCATTATAAATATTCCAAAAAAATATTTATAATGGTTTATAAAACTATTTATAAGGGTTTATAAAATTATTTATAAGGGTTTATAAAACCATGTATAAGAACTTATCACCCATTTATAATAGTTTATAAATCTATTTATAAGGATTTATACAAAATACAATATTATAAGGATTTACAAAACTATTTAAAAAATCAAATGCATCAAAAATATATGTGTAATTTATAAATCATTTATAAATGTTTATAAATAGTTTATAAATGATTTACAAAGATTTACAAATCCTTTATAAAAGTTTATAAATCATTTATAAGATCTATTAAATTAATTATAAAGGGTTATAACTCGTTTAGCTTGTGATCTACAATAAGTCTTTTCTTTTTATAATAATAAAAGTAAACAAAATTTGAAATTTTCTACTATTGAATTAGCATTTCAAATAATTCTAACGGGAGAGATGATGTATTTCTGTTGGTTGTTACAATAAATATCTTTTTTTTTCTATCTAACTTTGGAAATTCGCTTTCTATTTATAAGGGTTTATAAAACTATTTATAAAGGTTTATAAAACCATGTATAAGAATTTATATAACCCATTTATAAGAGTTTATAAATCCATTTACGAGATTCAACCAGCTTTATGTGTTCATTATGTGATCGAAGAAGAGCAAATGATGCTTTCAGTGCTAAAGGCAGACAGTATATAAAATCATAAATAACAGTTTTATAAATCATAAATCAATTTATAAGGATTTATAAAGTTTTAACACATAAAGGCTTATAAATCATTTTTAAGGGAAAATGATTAACAAATCTTATAACATTTTATAAAGGCTTATAAATCCTTTTTAACGGCTTACAAAGCATTTATAAAGGTGTATAAATTATTTATAAGTGCTTATAATTTTTATTAAATCTTTGTAAATGAAGGGAGGGAGTATATAAGAGAAACGTTACATGTTTGTTGTTAAAGGATGGGTTGATTTGGAGGTGTTTGACAGCAATTGAGTTTGATATTCTTTGGAAACATGCTAAAAAGCTGATAGAAGAGACAAGAGTGATAATACATTGGAGGCAACAAGTTTTGATACAACAAAAGAAAGAATGGAGGAAGAATTACAACATTCACATGTATGATGTATCATCACTTGTCACTTGCTTCTATGTCCCATATATGTCTTACTCAAGATGAGAAACAAAGAAAGTAACTAACTGCCCTAATGTAAATTTAACCTCAACATGTGGGACACAAATCAGGGGGGTCAATATTATAGATTCTTACAAAATGTTCTAAGAAGCAAGTTTATAGCAAGGGGGGTCAGCCTTCTTTGACAGATTTCCTTTCGTGAGAGTCTCAACAGCTGAGTTTATGGCTGGTTTGATTGGATCGAAAGCGAGTAAGCAGTTTATGTCTATGCAAGTGCGGATGTGTTGGAACTTTTCGGATGGCTCTTCAACTGTAAGATCATAAGCGTTTTCTGCTACGGCCATTTTGTTTACAACCTCCATGAGATAGCTTCCATATCCTTTTCCTTGGAAGGAAGGCAGGACCAGGATCTGGAATCAAGAACCAAGAATTGTCATATAGAAAAGAATGCAAGAAGAACTGAGATCATCGAGGTGTACATATATTATTATTACCTGGCTGAGTCTCATCCTTAACCTGACGGGATAACTCACTGGCTTGCTACGACATTCAAGGAATCAGTTTTAGTGAAGATATCTTCCAACGGAAGAGTGAAAATCCCAAGGCAATACTTAATATCAAGAAACAGCTCATCGGTTCTAAACTGATGCCTTAAGTTCTTGAAAATGGAATTAGCCGTCCCTAAAATTCCGTTAACTGAACCGTAATCTCCAACGAGAGAAGCTTTCTGGAGGCTGGAGACGAGCTCCGGAAGCAAACCAGGCCAATGTCTCGGGAAATCGTGTTTACCGATGACGGCTAAGGCTTCGCTGAGCTGGCTCTGGATTCTAGGGGAAGATCCTCTATAGCCACCCTGTAGTTGAGGATTAGATCCTCAGGTTTCTTCCATATATACGCCCGCACAGTTGCCAAACTCATCTCTGTAGGTAAGACCTGAAATAATCACAAAAAACAACCTTGTTCACCCACTAAGTGCAACCAATTTTTGTTTCTTTAATGTGTTGGAACATATCCTTGAAGCTAACTTACCTGATTATTGCATAAGATCTCAATGGAAGGTCTGAGTTTCTGCCAAGGCTTTGATCCAGTTGGTAGCAGTCCATTTTTCTGCAAACAGTTGCTGTGGTCCTCTTGCATCAATATCTAAACTATCCAACGGACTGTCAAGGACCATTTTCTCCACAACGTAATTGGTAACCTACATGGACATTTAGCAAAAAAAGAAGAAGCCATTGAATAACAGAAAGTGCAGGTACAACTGTAGGTTTTGAATTACGGATAAGTGCACCTTGTGAACTCTTAAGATCTGGGGTGCACTAAGTTTCCCTAGTGTGACCACCTGCACATTTGAGCCTTCACATGGATGCAGGAAGAAGCTTAATCTGGAAATTTAAAGACCTTTCAGAGTAAGATACTTAAGCAAGACGGTCAGCTTTATCTATTTATAAAAATGTAAAACCATTTGTGAATAAAATTCTAAAAGTACAAACTAATTTTGTAATTAGAGAACGAGGTCGTGCAATGTACTTTGTATTTTCTCTAGGTGGAAGGCGATTGTTCAAAATGGCGTCCAGGCACCACAACGGGAAGTCCTTCTCATCTTCAGTTCCGGCAAACTCTGTTATCTTCTTCCTCCATGTACCTCCTTGAGAACCCTCAGTGATGATGGACGGAGGGGAGACAGAAGGAAACTCAAATGGAGGATACACCGGATCATTCGCAGCACTGCTGTCTTCACTTTTGGATGCATTCAGATTCTTTTTGGTATCTTTTACAGATAGAATATCTCCAGAGGCAAGAACTTGGGGTGTTGTTTTGTGCTTCTTCTTTGCCAGCCAATGACCTAGCAGACCTTTCATTGCATGTGTTCTTGTATATTCTCAGCAGCCTAAGTTTTATGAGTACCTTCTCTGTTCCACCAGAGATGAGCATCGTCCCTGCATCATTCATCGCCAGTGCATAGACGGACTCCTTATGGCCTTTGGCAATTGTTGGTGAGTACCCACGGGATGGTGATGACTGGGTAGAGATATTGTTGCTCGAACCAACGTTTCTTAAACTTGTAACGGGTTGAGAGTTCCCAAGACCATTTGAAGAGCTTTCTTCCATTGGATAATTAGGTTTTGTAACTGGTGATAAAGCAGCTTCGATATCCCATATAAAAACCTCCCCGCCAAGGCCACCAGATGCAACAACATTGCTCTAATAATAACAACATCAAGATAGTATCAGAATGTGGTAACGAGAACTTAACATATCATACAAAATCAGGTGCAACTATACAGAACAAAAAAGGAATCATGAAAGAATGACAAGTTACATTTTTTGCCGCAACTGCCAAACAAGTAACATAGTCCGAGTGCTGACGGAGAGTCGTACATACTCCATCTGATAAGCTGTCCCAGGTCTAGAGTGTGAGAGAAAATTAAACCGCATTTATATCTCGATTTGGTGGTATAAAAACATAACAAAAAAAAGGATAAATACTCGTAGCAACTACAAGAAATTCCAAACCTTGACGGTAGTGTCTGATGAACAGGAAACAAGAGTGCTTTCACCAGCCAAAGCAGCGTCATTCACCTGACCAATCATTAACAATTGGGTCATAAATTATCAGATGTACAACAAAAAAAGATTCACCTCAGGATCCTAATTACTAATAATTCATATACAGTTAAACTTCGAGTGTCAGAAAAAAATCACTCCATACCCAATCAACATGAGACTCAAACATGAGGAATACGATTAGCGTCTTGATCTGCTCCTTCTCGGGAGGTGTGATCGGAGAGATGGAGGAGGAATCGTCGGCGGGAGGGAGCCACCGTGAACGGAGGTGATTTTTGAAGTTGACGGCGGCGGCGTGACGAGTTTGTTCATCGAGTTACTTTTACCTTAATTAGTCAAGGGTATATAAGTACTTTGTCAATTAAATTTTTCAAGGTAAAGTTGATTAAGGTATAAATGAAATGTGGTATCATCAAAGTGCTATATTTGGCAATTTCCCTAGATTTAATAGATTTTCAGATCAAATTCTTGATGATTAAAATATTTTGAATAAAGATAAAATTTATTCTTGACGACGTATTAAATGGGCTTGGCCCAATGAGTCAGTTATTGGATAAGGTTAAGCCCATAGAGCCATCTTATGTTTCGTATATCCAGTTTAGATATGTCGGAGAAGAGGTTAATAACTCTTTTCTCTTTTCTGGACGACGTTGTTGTTGCTCGAACTCTTCCCTTCGATTCTTCTCTCTCTCTCTTTGGAGATGTCTTCACTAACCTCAGTCGAATTGAATTTTCTGATCTTCAGATATCTTCAGGAATCAGGTAGCCTTCTCTGTAGTCTAATAATCTATTCCGCTAGATACACATGCTAGGGTTTTTGGATTTGGTTCGAATTGTGAGTACTGCATCTTCTAGGTAAGTTAATGACTTGTTTCTTGTTTAAATCGTAATGTTTGGTATTGTAGGGTTTACACATGCTGCATTCACTCTAGGTTACGAGGCGGGGATTA